CATTTATTCAAACGTCCAAGCCTGAAGTCTCATCCGAGACAAAGCAAGTCCGTTTTGCCTATAAGCCTGTAAAATCAAAAGGAAGCTAGTTACTTTCAAGATACAATGAGGGTACAGGCATTGTAAATTTTCCCATCTGAGTGGGAAAAAAATTGGCCAAAACAAAGAAGCCAGAGGCCCCATGCAAGTCCAAAACGTGCCCAGGCAGTCATCAAATCTTAAAGTTCCAAAATCTCCTTTGACACCACGTCTCACATCCAGAGCATGCTGATGCAAGGAGTGGGCTTCCACGCCCTTGGGCAGCTCCACCACTGTGGCTTTGCAGGGCACAGCTCCGCAGTCACTTTCACGGGCTGATGTTGAGTTCCTACAGCTTTTCCAGGTGCACTATACAAGCTGATGATGGATCTACCCTTCCGAGGTCTGGACGATGGTGGCCCTCTTCTCACAGCTCTGCTAGGCAGTGCCCCAGTGGGGACTCTGTGTGCGGGCTCCAAACCCACATTTCCCCTCTGTATTGCCTCACTAGAGTTCCTCATGAGGGATTCACCCCTGCAGCAGACTTCTGCCTAGACATCCAGTCATTTCCATACATCCTCTGAAGTTTAGGCAGAGGCTCCCAAAGCTCAACTCTTGTCTTCTGTGCTCCCGCAGGCCCAACACCATGTGGAAGCCGCCAAGGCTTGGGGCTTGCACCATCTGAAGCAACTGCCTGAGCTGTACCTTGGCCCCTTTTAACTGAAGCTGGAGCTGGATCAGCTGGAATGAAGGGCACCATGCCCTGAGGCTACACAGAGTAGCATGGCCCTAGGCCCAGCTCATGAAACCGGTGTTCCTTCTTAGGCCTCTGGGCCTATGATGGGCGGGGCTGTTGTGAAGATCTCTGACATGCACTGGAGACATTTTCCCCATTGTCTTGGCTATTAACATGTGGCTCCTTGTGTTTGCAAATTTGTGCAGCCAGATTGAATTTCTCCTCAGAAAATGGGTTTTTCTATTCTATCTCAGCCTGGACTTCATTATCCATATCACTATCAGCATTTTGATCAAGACCATTCAACAAGTCTCTAGGCAGTTCCAAACTTTCCAACATTTTCTTGTCTTCTTCTGAGCCCACCAAACTGTTCCAACCTCTGCCTGTTACCCAGTTCCAAAGTTGCTTCCATGTTTTCAGGATATCTTTATAGCAGTACCCCATTCTGCCAGTACATGTGATCTATATTAGTCCATTCTCACACTGCTATAAAGATACTACCTGAGAATGAGTAATTTATAAACAAAAGAGTTCTTCATGGCTGGGGAAGCCTCAGGAAACTTACAATCATGGCAGAAGGCAAAGGGGAAGCAAGGCATGTCTTACATGCAGCAGGAGAGAGAGAAAGTGCAAGTGAAACTGTCACTTTTAAGACCATCAGATCTTGTGGGAACTCTCTATCAGGAGAACAACATGGGGGAAACTGCTCCCATGATCCAATCACTCCCACCATGTCCCTCCCTCAACAGGTGGGGATTATGTTCAAGATTAGATTTCAGTGGGGACACAGAACCAAACCATATCACTCCTCTTTCACGCTCTTCATTGGATAAAATGGATGATTTGACAAGCAGTAAAGAGGTACTGCGGCCACTGCTAGACTAGAACTCTCCATGAGAGAGTCACAGTCTCCTACCACGAGTGACAGAGTCATCAATTTGAAATCCTTCTAGAATAAAACATGGAAGCAAGGTATTTCAGCTTTGAAGCACATGCACTCAATCATAAAATAACTATCAGGAGAGCATTTAGGATCAGTGATGATTCCCATTGCTCTGTGTGCTAGTTTCTGGAAGAAATGAAGCTGATTCTCTTGTTGAACATTAAATGCAGAATAAGGACCCTGAAAATTGTCATTCATATCACCCCCACCCTGCACCAACAGACTCAGAAATTCAGTGGGGAGACTTATGGATTGTGTTTGAGAATTGCTGGTCTACATAAGCCAAAGAGGTGTCTGTAACCAGTAAACAATTATTTGGGATTTCTGTGCAGCAAACTGTTAAGAGATGGAGGAAGGAAGAACATCTTCATGAGAAGTCACATAATTACAGTCAAGTTAGAAATAATCAGACACAGATAGCACCAGTTATTCAGAAAATTGACCAAGGAACAAGAGTTTTGGAGAAGGAGTAGGGTGCTAAATAAAATGTATTTTAATCCTACCAGGAAAGGCAATCCAAGCATCAGCTGTACTCTTATAGTTAAATACTGATTATCCCCATTGCACAAGGATGGGGGACCAACACTTTATAAAGAAATGCCACCTAAAATGCAGACACACAGTATGTAAATCAAGCATAATCCTAAAGTGCTGGTTAGCACATCAGAGGAGTGATAACAAGCCTAAACTCCTCATCCCATCCACGAAGAGAGGCTTGGCAGCCTCCTGAGGAAAAGCTTTGTTCTATCTCAAACTATAGCCTCACATTTTTAAAAACGATTTACTTAAACTCATTTCCCAGCAGAAATTGAAAAAGGAGCATTTGTTCTGTGAAGTTGCGTAGGAGAAACTTGACCTTGCCAGAGGAAAGGGCTGTCCCAGGAACACTTGGCAAGAGAGGGCGGTAGTTTGTGCTGCTACGGAATCACAGTAGCTACTTTCTGCTTCTCTCTACATATCTTTGTGCTCACTAAAGCAGAGAGACGCCATGAGATATTATATGACCCAGCAACCTCATTACACTGCATTTCATTGGAAACCTGACTGTGGTCCCACAGTTCTAGTTGAGCATCAGCCCTGACATTGAATTCTGTTTCTGTATCATCTTAGGCAAGGGTTTTATATTTAGGATCACAGATTTCTCACGGGTACAATAACCATTCTTACCTCACAAAATTATGAGGATTCCCAAGGATGTAGGAAATCATCTAGTCTGGTACGGACTCATTAAATCACCTACTTCTCTGGTGACAGAGCTGAGACTGGCTTCCTCACCACCTTCTTTTTTTTTTCTTTTTTTTTGGGAGACGGAGTTTCACTCTTGTTGCCCAGGCTGGAGTGCAATGGCCCAGTCTCGGCTCACTGTAACCCCCGCCTCCCAGGTTTAAGAGATTCTCCTGCCTCAGCCTCCTGAATAGCTGGAATTACAGGCGCATGCCACCGTACCTGGCTACTTTTTTGTATTTTTAGTAGAGACGGAGTTTCACCATGGTGGCCAGGCTGGTCTCAAACTCCTGACCTCAGGTGACCCACCCTCCTTCGCCTCCCAAAGTGCTAGGATTACAGGTGTGAGCCACCCTGCCCAGCCCCTGGTCAACTTTATTAACCAGTGCTCACTGTGGCCATGCTCCTGAACCCTCGGCCTCACAGAGAGCATTGAGGCAGCATGCTGCCTAAAGGCATTTCACATTTGTAATTGGGAGTTGACCGCACTTCCATTCTCACAGTTACCTCCAACAATTTGTTCCTTTGCTTTCCTAGCCCATTTTTGTTGCTTCTTCCTCACTATACTCCTTTCCAAAGGAGAAGAAATGTGCTAAGCGCCGGCATGGTGTGCAGTGTGGGAGACACAGACAGACGTGGGAACCTCCTAACTCTGCAGACCTCAAGGCTCAGGAGGGAAGACTGAATGGTACTATCTGTGGTACCACCTGCTTAGTCTCCCACTACCAGTCCTGGAACTAGCATTCCCCTTTTCTGGGGAACTGCTCCACACAAACACAGATTCCAGGTATGTGGTTCCAGGAGTGCTTTATATCATTACATGTCCCACCTTCCTCACCACAGCTGACTGGTTCTGGGGTCAGATAGTCGTGATCTCTGCCCCTGTGCTTTGTGTTCCTGGCTTAAGGTTAGGTACCCAAGGACCAGCCTGATTTTATTCCGGACATCGAGACAGAAGGAAAACCTTTTCCCTTGATCCTCAAGAGTCCATGAGGGATTCTTCATTTTTCTTTTCCTTTTGGAGACCGAGTCTCTCATTCCTGTTGCCTACGCTGGAATGCAGTGGTGGGATCACGGCTCACTGCAGCCTCGACTTCCTGGGCTCAGGCCATTCTCCCACCTCAGTTTCCTGAGTAGCTGGGACTACAGGTGTGTGCCACCATGCCTATTTTTCAAATTTTTTTTGTAGAGGTGGGTTTCATCATGTTGCCCAGGATGGACTTGAACTCCTGGGTTCCAGCAATCTGCCTGCCTTGGCCTCCCAAAGTGCTGAGATTACAGAGGTAAGCTGCCATGCCTGGCCAATGAGGGATTTTAAATTTCACTCTCCAGAAGGAAAAAAGCAGAGGGATTTATATATATATATATATATATGTGTGTGTGTGTGTGTTTGTGTGTGTGTGTATGTGTGTATCCTGGAATGCACTCCAGTGCCATAAGCCTACAGGACCCTGTGGGTATAGCCTGTGGTTATCCAGTACCTTCTTTGACTAACTAATTTGATTAATTAGAAGAGGCTAGCTCCTGTAACAAATGTTCCTAATCTCTTTAGCTTTTAAAGTAAATTTTTATTTTTTGTTTTTATCAAGGTCCAGTGCAAGTTGGTGGTGACAATGATGAGGGGACATTCTCTACACGTTATCCAAAGTTCCAGGCTCCTTCTCCAAATTGGATATGTCATATTGTAGGGTCTGTTCCTCCTCTTCACACAAGACATGGATTGCACAGGGTGTGTACTATAAACTAGGCCTTATTTAGCCATACATCAGTTATTTTCTTATTCCAATAGCCAGAAATCAGTACATGACCCCATGAAATCACAAGAGTAGCTTGAAAAATATGGTTACTTGTGGACCAAGATGAAAACAAATAAGCTTTGATGAAGTCATTCTGCCACAGTGAGTTTCTCTAATTGGAAGATTTGAAAAGTACTAGCAAGTTCATTTTGCTACAGACCTAAGCTTGTTCTTCAGTGAGCTGAGTCCTGTGTCTACTAATTGGTTTTAAATTCAGCAGGGAAGACATGAGGATTAGTTACTGAGTACCTAAAAACCATGAACATAGAGGACTTTTCAAAGTAAATTTTAAAAACGGAGTCTTTGGTGTTTAAGCTTTGATCCTCAAAACATATCTGAAATCACATTCTCTATAATGTGGAGCCATCTCTCCTGCAGAGAGAATTGAGCTTCAGGGTGCAGCAGACATGGATGAGCATTTAAAGGGAAGCTGACATCTACCTAGAAGACAGATCCACTAAAGTCTTCCAATGCCAGAGAAATACCATGCTTTGGGCATTTGGAATAGTTCCTACTCTGCCTGGGAGCTCTATACCTTTATCTCCAAAGGAGATGACCACTCCCTAATTGACACACTCCACCCTCCTGTCCGTGGGAGAATCCTATTGGTCATCCAGACTCACCACTGTGCATTAGATCCATGCTCGTCACCAAGGCTAACCCAGTCCTTGATTCCAATCATGAACGGACAAACGTTTTCTAGATATTTAGGAAAAGTGAGGAAGATGCACAAATAGAACTAATTCTGGAGGAGGGAAAAAAGGATATAATACAGGAAACAGAAGAAAACGTTACCAGAACATACTCTCAGAGTTTAAGAAAGACAAGAGGTTTATAAAATGAGAACAAGCTGTCATAGAGGGGAACAATCAGGGGACAGGCGAAAGTCCTTGGTAACTAGAAAAGTTACTGCAGAATTGAGGTAGCGCAGAGGTCTAATAGTGCCCAGTTCCCCGGGCCACCCATGGAACTCAGCGCACTCCCCCACCCCCACCACCTGTCGGAAGGCCCGCGCGGCTCCGCACCACCCCACGCCAACCCGACGGTGCGCGCGCCTCCCCCGATAACGGTCTCCACCGCCCACTTCGGGCCCCTCCGCAGAGCCCCCGACCACACCACCGCCTGGCTTGGAGGACCCCGCCCTCCGCCAGCCGCCGCCGTCGTCCACCATGGTGGTGCTCCGAGGCCCCCGCCGCCGCCGCCACTGCCCATGCCGATACCGCTACACGCTCCGGGCCCCTGGCGACCCCACCGCTTTTCCCCTCTTGCTCCCCGCGCCCGCGCTGCCCGCCCTGGACCCGCTGTCGCAGGTGCAACGGTACCACCACCCCAGCTGTGAGGCCGCCGTCAACACCCACATCACCTTGGAGCTCCACGCCTCCTACGTGTACCTGTCCATGGCCTCCTACTTTGAGGAGGACGACTCGGCCCTGGAGCACTTTGACCGCTACTTCCTGCGCCAGTCGCAGGAGAAAAGGGAGCACGTCCAGGAGCTGATGAGGCTGCACAACCTGCGCGGTGGCCGCATCTGCCTTCACGACATCAGGAAGCCAGAGCGGCAAGGCTGGGAGAGCGGGCTGGAAGCCATGGAGTGTGCCTTCCACCTGGAGAAGAACGTCAACAAGAGTCTCCTGGAGCTGCACCAGCTGGCCAAGCAGAACGGCGATCCCCACCTGTGCAACTTCCTGGAGAACCACTTCCTGAACCAGCAGGCCAAGACCATCAAAGAGCTGGGTGGCTACCTGAGCAACCTGCGCAAGATGGGGGCCCCTCCGGCAGCAGGCCTGGCAGAGTACCTCTTTGACAAGCTCACCCTGGGCCGCAGCGAGAAAGACACTTGAGCCCAGAGGGGCCCCGCAGCCACGGGGTGCCTTCCCCGGGTACGGCCACCAGGCGGGGCGTCCATGTTGCCCTTTCAGAACGTTCTCTTCAGTTTTCTCCTCTCAGTTTTCCCGCTGTTGGCAATAAACTTACCTGTTCTCAAAGCAATAAAGGTGTCCAGCTGACGCGTGTCTGCAACACTCGCACCTTTTAGGAATCAGGGCACATCTCCATGCAGGTTTAAAGTAGGTATCCAGCAGCCTCTCCACTCAGCTCTGTCCCATCTGCATGCAGCTCAGGATCTGCGGGGGTGGAGGGAAAAGGTATTCTTATGGGTCCCTGGAAAACACATTAGTCTTCTCCTTATAAACTCTGAGGGCATGTGGGATGGGGTGGGGTGAGGTGGGGTAGGGTGGGGTGAGATGGGTGGGGTGGATGGGGTCGGGTGGGGTGTGCAGTCTTGGGCCATGGTATCTGTTGGTGCGTATGCACGGTAAGGTGTAAAGCATGGTGTGGAATTCATCCTAGTGGTTGCCTCTGGAGAAAAAGGGAAGGGAATGAGATTGGGTGGGGATAAAAATAATATAGTCTTTAACTTGACATGAAAAGTCATATTTTTAAAACATGCAAGTACTAGGAATTCTTGCTTCTGGGAAGCAAGATGGGGGCTCTGGGGGACAGTATGGCAGAGTACCTCTTTGGCAAGCTCACCCTGAGTGACACGGATAATGGGACTGAGCCTTAGGCTGCCTTCCCCACAGATAGGGGGTGATTTCCTGCATATTGCCCTTCAATTGTACCATTTCTCCCATTAAAGCTGGTTAAAAAAAAAAAAAAAAAAACAGCTCAAAAGAAGGACTGAAAAACATAAGGTCAAAGCTGAAGGTCAAATTTGTAATATTGAATATAGAGTAGAATAAATGTAAAGTAGAATAAATGCCCCCAAATGTCAAGACAGTGACTGTCTGCTTTAAGGAATGTAGAGGGGTGGCAGAGAGTTGAAGGTGCAGAGCAGGTAGAGCCAGCGTAGCTGATTCAGGTAGGAGACTAGTGCAGCTTGAGCTGTGATGGTGGCTGAAGAAATGAAAAGAGGTCGACAAGTTCTAGATGGATTTTCCACAACAGGAGACAAACTTTGCTCATGGACAGGAGGTGAGGAATGGGAGAGGGGGAACATAATGTAGGTTCTGAAGTTTGGACCTGAACACCTGGACTGATGATGGTGTTATTATCTCCCTGGGGATGGTTGCAGGGGTCCCCGGGGTGGAGGAGCGGAGAATGCATGCCATGTAAAATCAGATTTTTATTAGACACCCAAGTGGAAATATGAATCAAGGAGCTGCAAAAATGTCACGTTTGGAAGTAGACATATTGGGGACATTTTATACATGGTATTGAAGTCATGTGATTGGATGAGCTCACCAGAAAGAGAGTATAAGGGAGAGTATGACAAATCTAGTCCAAAGTGCAGGGCAGCTAACATTTAGAGGATCCTTGAGGTGTTTGCACACCCAGAGAGTTGCTGGTCCCACCTTGACCTTTATCTGCCCCAAGTTTATTATCTTATTCCCAATGTCTGCCCCAAGCTTATCTCAAAATCATCCTGTTCCTGTGAAGCTCAATGTGGCCTCTGGTTTCTCCTTTCAAGATATAGAGAAAAGTTTGCCTTTTACCTTTTCTTTATAGCTACGTATAGAAAGGTATTTTTCCTAGTAAGAAGAAGATTCCATATGGAAATGATACATCTGCTTCTCTATGATTTTTTTTCTCGTTCCCCTTTAAAAACTCTTCTCCTCTCTCAGTCCACTCTCTATTTGACCAAAGGCAAAACCTCCACCTATGTAAACCATAACGTTGTCCATGTCTGTTGAAAAATACTTAAAACATCTATTTTCTGTGCCACAAAAGAAAGCTACAAAGAAACAAGAAACAAAAAAATCTTGTTTCTTTTGTGGGCTACAAAGGTAAAAATAAAAAAATTACAGACTGTATAATTTAGTCAGAGACACATATGTAGCTCGCATCATTTTAAAGCTAGCGGATTGTTTTGGGCATTGTATTAGTCCGTTTTTCACGCTGCTGATAAAGATGTACCTAAGACTGGGCAATTTACAAAAGAAAGAGGTTTATTGGACTTACAGTTCCACGTGGCTGGGGAAGCCTCACAATCATGGTGGAAGGTGAAAGGTATGTCTCACATGGTAGCAGACAAGAGAAGAGAATGAGAGCCAAGTGAAACGGTTTTCCCCTTATCAAACCATCAGATCTTGTGAGACTTATTCACTACCAGTAGGACAATATGGGGGAAACTGTCCCAATGATTCAATTATCTCCCACTGTGTCCCCACCACAAAATGTGGGAATTATGACAGTACAATTCAAGATGAGATTTGGGTGGGGACACAGTCAAACCATATAAGCATTTATTAAGATATGAACAAGTTTAGCTGTGCAATAATTATCTTCCACATTTCCATATTAGTGCACTTTAACACTTTTCTTAAAAATTAGGATTCTGGCCCTTTGAGTTCAGTTTCCAGAAAATGAAAATGCTATTGTCTCTTTACTCATCTTAGTCAAACTTGGTCTTCTCGCTGTTTGTCTTTCTCTGCCTGCTGTAAGGACTTCTGAATGCTCTGACTTCGCCTCAGCTGTTACCTATTGAAATATATATGCCCCTTAACTGTTTTATGAGAAAGAACAGAGCAAGCATGGATTTTTGAGGTTTCAAACTTTAAATTGACTGAGGGGACTTCTTAATTTTCTGTTTTGGAGAGAAAATTTGGTGTAGTGTTTTCTTAACCTCAGATTGCCTGAGTTCAAATTCCATCTTAGCCACTCATTTTGGGTAAATTTGGGCAAATTGTTTAACTTCTCTGTGCCTCAGTTTCTCCATATAGGGATAATAAAAGCATTAGCCCCATAGGGTTGAGATTAATGAGTTAATATATGGAAATTACTTAGAGCAATGCCTGGCACATTGTATGTTCACTATGTGGTACCCATGATTTATCACCATCATCACCGTTATCATCCTCTACTCTTTTAAACTTTTATTTAGGTTCAAGAGAACAAGTGCAGGTTTTTATGTAGGTAAACTGCTGTCATGGAGGGTTGTTGTATAGATTATTTCATCACCCAGGTACTAAGCCGAGTAACCAATAGCTATTTTTCGGCTCCTCTCCCTCTTCCCACCCTCCACCCTCCGGTCCCAGTGTCTGTTGTTCCCTTCTTTGAGTCCACTTGTTCCCATCATTTAGCTCCCACTTATAAGTAAGAACATGTGGTATTTGATTTTCTGTCCCTGCATTAGTTTGATAAAGATAATGGGCTAGAAGCCACCATCCTCTACCCTTATGCTTCTTTGTGGTCTTCATGCTTTGGGAAAATACTTCACTTCTACACTTTGCCACTGGGGGTCTCTCTTGCATGTCTAGTAATCAAGTCGCCCTGCGTACTGAGAAGGAAAAACCCTTAGAAGCTGGTTCTGTTGTCAGGTGTCTCCAGGACTCAGGAGGGTATACGGCTGTTTTCGCTACCCCCCCACACCTCAGTCCCAAGACAGGAGGAAGGTTGTGCTGTGACAACTTTCTGTGCTATACTCCGCCCCACTCTCCATTCTATCTCAACCCGCTTTCCCTTGAATTTACTCCTAGAACACTGTGCTTGTGATCCAAATTTGGAGACTAGGATTTTTAAATGATATTTTGGTGGGTGGGGGCTAGAGAAGGGGGCATCCTCATTAATTGGGTCAAGGATTAAATCATAGGGGGTTGAGGCTGTGTCCTCTTAGGCTGAGTCAGTTCCTGGGTCAGATCACAAGACCCGTTGAGCCAGCTTACCAGTCTAGGTGGAACCAGCTGGTCCAACAGAATGAAGGGCTTTGAACACCAATCTTAGGTTTTACAATAGTGATGCTATCTATAGAAGCAGTTGGGGGAAGTTACGAGCCTTGTGACCTCTGGCTACATAACTCCTGAGTCATAATTTCTAATCTTGTGGCTAATTTGCTAGTTCTACAAAGGCAGTTTTGGTCCTCAAACAAATAAGGGTTGTTTTGGGAGGTTGGAAAGCATGGATTTTGCATGCAAGAAGGGCGTGAATTTTGGGGTCCGGGGGGCAGAATGCTATCAACTGAACGTTCATGTACCCTCCAAAGCATATGTTGAAGCACTATCTTCCAAGGTGATAGTATTTGAAGTTGGGGCTGTAAGGAGAAAAACCTGGAATCATATAGAAATACCTTCCCCCAAACTGGGAGTGAGCCAGGTGATCAAGAAATGACGTGGAGAAGTCCAGCTTGGCGAGTAGATGAGTTTATTAGGATTTACATGGGAGGCACTCCGGGACGACAGCAGGACAGCTTTAGAGATCTGCACCGCTTATTATTTTTAAACTACTTTTAAGCTAATTATCTGGCTCTTTGCTTACTTTGTTTAAGTGATGAGACTTTTTCTTGGTAGGTTCTCAGATACTGTCTGGGATGTTTGGATTCTCAGGGACACCCGCTCTCTGGCTGGGCAACATGGCCTTGGCTCATGGCCTGGCCTTCAGGGTTTGGGCAGCAGAAATAAACCCTTTAGTAATCTGATTGGGACCCTTCACACTACAGGGGCCTTTGAGATGTAATTAGGGTTAGATGAGGCTGGCCCTGAGGAAGGAGCCTTTGTCTGATCATCCTTACAAGAAAAGACACCAGAGAGCATGCTCTTTCTTTCTCTCTCTCCCTGTCTGCCATGCCATTTGAACACACAGTAAGAAGGTGGTCATTTGCAAATCAGACAGCTGTCACCAGAAACCACGCGATTACGCTGGTCTTGTACTTCCAGCCTCCAGAGCTGTGAGAAATAAGTTTCTGTTAAGTCATACACTCTATGGTATTTTGTTGTGGCAGCCTGAGCAGACACTTGGGGAGCTGGGAAATAATACTGATGTTGCTGTTTAAACTCACTAAGTCATACCTTCATGCAAGTATTGGATCAAACATAACAAAAATTTAGTGTAACTTCAACATGATTGCATTTGAAAATATTTAAAGTGAATTGGAATCCTCTCAGTCCATTGATTTTGCATACAGACAGACACACACACAGACACAATTTTGTCCATTTTGTTTTATCACAAACTGGTCTGTCTTATACCATGGATTGTCAAACTATAGCCTATAA